ATATATATATATATATATATATATATATATATATATATATATATATATATATATATATATATATATATATATATATATATATATATATATATGAGTGTACCTGTGCATGCATACGTGCGTGTGTGTACATGTGTATGATCGGTACATACCCCTCCTCCTCTTTCTCCTTGCCCTTCTTTCCCCCAGTCCCTTTCCCTTTCCCGAGGAGAAAAACCATAGTGCGAGTGCGGAAAGCGGAATCCGTTGCGTGGAGGAGCGAGTGCGAAAAAAAAAAAAAAAAGAAACCTTATAATGTCGCTCTTATCATATCACAGATCACCCAAGGTGCGCGTTGGTTTGGGGACTTACTTTGTATCATGTATATGTACATATATGTGCCTAACGCGTATATAGAGACTATATGAGAACGGGAACGTCGCCGCGGAGAGGTCACCGTTCCTACACCGCCGTTCCACAGGGTGCTCCGAAGAGCAACGCGTCCGAGAATCGCGATCGCCGAAGGAAGGCCCCGCGGGGCCGGCCGTGCGTGTCCAGGCGACACCCGGAACTCTACGACTCTGTCCGCGCGCGTACGTTCCACCCGTCGAGTCGGAAAGCAACGTAACTCGCCGTACATCTCTGAGAAAAAAAAGTCTTCCGTGCGATCGCGCTCTCCCTTCTTCGCCCTCGGCGTGGCGAGGGTGATTCGGCATTCCTGAAACGTTCGATCCGAGTCTTCGGGTCCGCTCGATGTCGCGCCGCCTGCCCGTCGCTAATATTCTATCGTGGTACCTGTACATACGGATGCGTGAGCGTGTGTGCGTGAAAGAGGAAGGAGCTCGGCTCGTGCAACTGAATCCCCGCTCGCTGGGGACCAGATGTCAACTCTCTGACAATGTGAAATGGTTTCTCTGTCTGTTACCGCGACCGAAAGTCCGCAACGTTTGTTTTAGACACTGGGCTGCGTTAAAACTCGCTCGAGATGACTGAGGTAACAGGAACTTCCTGCAGGGATCTCTTATTCCGATTTCTTGTCCCCGGGGAATCGAAACTTAAGTACACGAGCCGATTTCTATTTTTCTGTGTATGCGTGTGTGTGAGAATGATGATGACGATAATGATAATGATGATGATGATGATGATATGTGTGTGTGTGTGTGTGTCGTGAATGCCTATGTATGGGTATGGGTGCGTCTATACATGCGCCCCGCATGCAGTCGTGGTTGTACCTGGTAAAACTAACTTTGTCCTAGGATTTGTTTTTAAATTAATCTCCCATATAGTTAAATACACTAAAACTAGAGAGAAAAAACGCCCTAAAAATCGGACCATCGATCGTCCGGCTATGAGTAGAAGCGAGATTCCGCGGCGGGTTCGTTTGCGACCTCGGCCGCGATGAATCTCACTGTTGTTGTTGTCAGAGTCTAAAAACCATATGTACCATATGTTCCGGGGAAAAGTGGAGACTTCTTCTTTTGCGAGCACTTACCTATTACGCGTTTAGAGAGAAGAGCGACACGCGAACTTAATTGTACAGGCGTATCGTCGAGACAGCAGTTCTATAGCAGTTCTATAGGAATCGATTTCCTAGTTGATTGCACAAAGTATGCGCCACGATCTACGACGAGTTTGCGATCGCGCGCGATTTCCATCACTGCGGCTCTACAGTCTCTCCTTTTCTCTTCCCTACTTCTTATCTACCTCATCCACATTTTCTACATATCTACTCCCTAATTCATCTCAGATCAGTGTTGTTAGATGAATCCCCCTTTTAGAATCCCCATGCGCATTGAACGTAACGCGACATGTGACATCAGTAGAATATACAATTTGATTACTTCAAGGAGAGTCCCCATTTGGATGCCCCTAAAAAATATTATTTATAAATTTTCGAAAAACCGATAAGAATCTACTCAGAATGGATCAGTTTTCTGTGCGATACTTGAGAGAATTCTTCTGTTGGACATCACACAGATGCGTTTTGAAATTTACAGAAAAACAGCGGACAACCTTTCTCTGTCTGCGTTCCCATATTTTCTGACACTTTCGTACATGGGCGAAAAGGTGTCTTATCTAACAACCCTGTCTCGGATAAATAGCTTCGCGCGAAAATCCGCATTGTGTGTCCCACAGCGAAGCATCGCGCGCATCTCGTAGCGCCAATGAAGGTTTCGCGCGGGACTCGCGACCGATTCCCAACTGGAATCATCTCGTTTCAGAGGTTCGCCCGAACGCTGTCGTTACGGTAAATGCGCATGATGCAGGTACTTTTTTACTATTTCCCGTCCTTGCTCGATCCCCAGCGGCTCGATCCGGTCGACTTCACGTCGTCTCTTCGGCAGTTCTCACAGCAGGGAGAGGGCGGACGATTCAGAAGGTGGATGCTTGGGCCACGAGCGTCGTGGACTGTTGATGCGTCGACTCGGTGCTGCTCGAGGTCGTCTCACGCCGCTCCGCGAGGCTGCAGCTGTCCGTCGTGTCCCGCGGCGAGTCCCGTTGCAGAAGGCCACCCTAGAGTTACATCACTACTCACAAGAGAAGAATTTCGTGCTTTCGTGTTTCGCCGTTTCTGTACTTCGATCTGTACGTTCGAGCCTTGCGCGCGTTCTCTGCAATCTATCAATTAATATTCTCTACTTTACTCTTCGCGAAAGATTTCGAGCTACTAAGCGCTATACTGCTCTACTGGCATTAATCATTCAGGCCGAAAGTACCGTTCGAAGGATGTCGTGTTTGGAATCTACGCGCTCACCTGTAGCAGCATGTTCGCGAAGTTGCTGTTGGTGAACTTGAAGTGCCGTTTGTCGTAGAACTTGAGCAGCGACGGGCTGTACGGGTGCTTCTCCTTCAGGTGAAGATAATGCACCTCCGGCTCGTGCGTGGTGTGTCCGCATTCCTCGCAAACGTACACCTACCGAACAACCGGACGTATATCAAAATGCAAATCAGTTGCCGTATCGCGCGTCTTTCGGGAACGGATGTTCGACCGCAACAACGGATATTCAGACTTGAATTGATAATCATTAGCTGAGTCCTCCCTCAGTTGAGATACCCAGATTTCAATTTAGAGTCAGATGTGGCTTTTCTGGTTGAATCACGCGATTACAGTTGCAATATCATACATTATATGATTCAAATGACAAAAATCTGACTCTAAATTCAGATCTGAATGTCTTACGTGATTCAAATAACGATTATTCATACGAGTTTTAGAGATTTCCAGAGCGAAACAAATACGCGAACGTTTGGTCGTCAAAGATTAAAATAATAATAGATAATTAACAAATAATGAAGGTTATGGAAGATAATTAAGGATTAAATACGATGAAAAAATAAAACAATCTTTCTTTTCTCACATACACACACACACACACATATAGTAATTTTTTAATATTTCTTTTTTTTAATTTCTTAAATACTGGTTTCGATAATGGATAGTATACCTTAGCGCGTCGCTCCTTGTACGCGTACTGATGCTGCACGCCGTGAACCTTCACCCCGTGACTCTCCAGAGAGCACCTCTGCGTGAAACTCTTCTCGCAAAGATAGCACTTGTACGGCCGCACTCCGGTGTGCGTTCTCGTGTGCCTCTTGAGGTCGAATGTGTCGTTGAAGCCCTTTCCGCAGAATGTGCAGAGGTAACGCTTCACGTCGCTGTGACACTTCATGTGACGATTGAGTAGCCGCTGTAGGTTGAAGTTCTTGCTGCACACGCGGCAAACGAAGTTGTCGTCCTGCCGATCAAAGCGCCGAAGGACGCGTCGTAAGGATGACATCTTCTCACGACATCAACTCGCGACATTATCAAAACGCGAAATATTCGCAAAGTAACCGTTACCTTGCCGCCGGGCGGGGTCCGATTCGCTCTGTCCTCGTCCCGATTGGCCGCCGCCTGCCTTTGGCTCTCGATGGCTAAAGGATTCTTAATGCCGTGACCGCCGTTAACAAATTCTATCTGACAGTCACTTGGTAAACCAAGCTGTGAACCGATAAGAAAGCCCGTTAGATCTCACCGAGTTCCCCGGCGTAGCCCGGGATAGAAAAGAACTGATTGCATCGGATGAAGCACTCAAATTGATTGACATTGCATAGTTCACGCGCGAAGAGTGGCGACGACTTGACGTTAATTTGGAGACGCAACGGCCACTCTCCTTTTCTCTTTCCCTCTTTCTATCTCTCCCTTTTTTTCACGTGTCATTTTCCCGCGTCAGATTCCGAAACAAGTTCCGCGAATCGTTCGACGCGTCGCTCGATCGGCGTGGCGAGTTCAGTTCGAGCGATTCGCGGCTGGTGCAGGAGCGATTCGCGATGCGCGCACGTGCGCAAGCAAACGCCCGAGAAGGAGCGAATTTTTTCTGTCAGCTCGATCCCGCTTCCGGGGGCGTCAATTGAGAACGTCGCGAGACGAGGAGATATATGCCTTTGCCTGGATCAATTTGGGTCGCTTACCCTTTGCTGGAGTACACCGACCCGTTGCGAAAGCGGCGGCTCGCCGACCGGTCCCGCGGCTGCCTGGGTCCCGTTCACCACCGCCACCGGGCTGTGCGCGTGTTCCATCAGGGCGCACGACGGAGAGGTCCGGGTGGAGGCGCCGTCCAAGGAACAGCTGGTCGCGCCGGGGCTGGGCAGGCTGCCACCCACGCTGCTGCCCGAGTCTAATTCTAAACCTTCAAGATTAGATCGCGATGTTAGCGTTCGACGGCTTAGTGGACCGTGTGCGCGCGCACGTGTGTGTGTAAAATTAATTTACAGATTTTTATTTCTCTCCTTCGTTCGAAGCGAACTATCCTCGAGGAATCCAAGTCTTAAACTGGGCTAATGCAAAGATACACGTTGAAACAAAGATTGAAAATAAACTTGGAAGGGTCCTCAAAATATATAATCAGTGTAAAGATATAAAGGGAATAAAGATAAGTGAGAGTCGATGCTAGCTTATAGAGATCTGTAAAGGAGGTACAAATTATTCAAATAAATTCTCAATTTAATTAGTTAATCATGCAAACGTGTTACAGTCCTATCACTTGGACCCTCTTCGGCGTCATAAAAGTCATAAACTTCAGCGTCAGGAATGGTCAAATATTTACCAATTCAAAACAACTAACATAAGTCAAATAAAACACGAATCAAGTGACTGAAATGCAGTTGTAAAGAACGGAGTTCTTTTTTTCTATATGAGTCTCTTTATATTCAAATCTTTTCAAGGAGAATTCACGATTGAGATGTGCGACGTAGGATCGACGTGTGGTCCATTAAGCCGTCAAGTGTTACGTCGTTTTTTCCTAGGATTAAATATTTTCGCACAGAGATCAGCCCTTTCGATCCCGTTGGATCATACGTGTACACGCAGTTCAAAAATTTATCTTGCGTTAGTGTCATTCAGCTTACTTTACAGCATACTCTTCTACACGTAACAACGTTGTGTACTTGTTCGAAATTCCCCAGAGAAGAAAGTGGGACCGAAAGGGGTTAAGGATCGCGTCCGATGTGCTCGATAATAACCGCGTCGGAAGATTATCAGAGAGCAATCAGCCGGCCTCGAACTTACCGTTACCGGTGAAACTCAAGCCAGGACTGAGGAGCGCCTGATGTTGCTGCTGCTGTTGCTGCTGCTGTTGCTGCTGCTGCTGCTGCTGCTGCTGCTGATGCGGTGACATAGCGGTCTGCTGCTTCTGCTGCTGCAGTTGCACCTGAATCTGCAACTGCTGATCTTGCTGGTGCTGGTGATTCTGATTGATATGCAACGCCAACTCCGGCCGTTCCTTCGAGAGTGGCTGATAGTTCGGCTCCCCGCTCGCGTAGCTCAGCCCCAGCTTGGACGCGTTGTAGTGTTGCGGAGTGGTGTAGTGTCTGAAAGAGGAATCGAGCGGTTTCATTAGCATGCGTCCGCGATTGGGAACAGCTTCACGGCCGGCGTTCATTCGCGCTCATTCGCGGTTCCGACCTGAACCCGCGGATGAAAGCAACGGGAACGCGAGGCATTCGCCGCGGCTCTCGCCAAGTAGCGAGTTCTCACGGCGCTCTCGGCACGCTTACCTCGTGTCAAAGCCTCTGGTCAAGGCCATACTGTGCTCGGGGAAAGGATCGACGCTGGGCTCGACGGGAGTGGTCATCTGACCCGCATCTTGGCCGATTCCGCTGCTGCCGGTCGAGGCGGGCGAGTGCAACGGGTCCTCGAGAAGATCGCTGCCACCGTCCTCGGCCTGCAATCGAGGCAGCAGGAGGTCCGCGTCGCTCAGACTCTCCAGCAACGCCGTGTGGTCGGAGGACGGATTGAAGGTGAGGGTCGCGGTGAGTTGCAGCGGGTCTACCACCGCGCCGGTCACCATGTCCACCATGATACTCGAGTCGGACACGTCGTACGGGCCGTATTGGCTGGACAGCAAGTCGTTTGACTGCATCTTGTACGCTGCCAGCTCCTCTTGCTCTTCCTTGAACGTCAGGCCGTACGAGGCGCAGACGTTCTGCAGCAACGAGTATTGCTTGCCCTCCTGCGCGCTGTACTGCACGTGCTGAGAGTTCACATCCTGCTGACCGATGTCGCATTCGATGCCCACCGCGGGCAACGGCGTGAGGTACGCGTTCCCTGAAAACATTTCAATTCTAAAACGCACTTCCGCGATCAGTCCGCGAGAACGTCGCAAATCCTGCGAGAATTCTGCGCGATGTGTCCTTGTGCACTTAAGGAATATCTTGATTTTCAATACGAAGAAGACGTAATATTCAACACGGTCGCTTTGCCATGGTTAAATCAAAAGTCGCTAATTATAAGTCTATGTTCGCTCACTATAAGGCTATATTCTCAATAGCCTCACTTAATGCAGTGCGTGATATACGAAGTGTATTAAACACGCAAATTGCGTATTTTACATAATGTATCGCACATATGTGCGCATCGGTCTCTGATGAGAGAGATCGGGAGTAATAATAAGCATGACGCTATGTGTGACGCTGGTGGCGAACATGCTGATAAAATGAAATGAAATGAAATGAAATGAAATGAAATGTAATGGATACAAACAAAGTAAAAACTAGAATAAAACTGATAAGAAATTAGAGAAGAAATCAAAATGAAATAAAATGAAACGAAATGAAATAAAATGAGATAAAAATGTGATGAGAAATAAGAGGAAGACAAAATGAATCAGAATAAAGAACAGAGTCCCGTTGGAAACAGCTCTTGCCGTTACTGCGCATTCACGAATACATTAATCAGAGACGAGACGCACTCACCCTGTGCGCTGTTGTACTGATTGGCGAAATTGGCGAGGTTGTTGCCGCCCTTCAAGGACTCGTAGAAAGGCGGCAAGGAGCCGGTGGGGGGCGAGCTGGGTCCATAGTTGCCGCGACCCCCGTTACCACCGGGATTCATGCCGCCCCCGCCAGCACCCCCGCCGACCGCACCGCCGCCGCCTCCGCCGCCGCCACTACCGCCGCCCCCGCCGCCACATCCGCCCGCCATGGCTCCACCACCGCCTCCACCCCCGCCGCAGTAACTTCCGCTGCCACCTCCGTTGCTCGAGGACGAAGAGCCGCCACCTCCAGCACTGCCGCCGCCGCTGCCGCCGCTGCCGCCGCCGCCGCCGCCGCCGCCGCCGGAACCACTGTTGCCGGAAGAGCCGCTGTTGCCCGAGTTGGAGGATCTACCGTGACCCGCAGCCGCCTGCACGACCTGTGACCCGGGCAGTTGTACGCTCAGCAGAGGCCTGGCGATCGAGCTGCCGGCGGTGCGAGACACCTTCGCTCCCTCGCGACACTCCTCGTCGTCCTCGTCCTCTCGTTTTCTCTTCTTCGGCACTGCGTAGTCGATTGGATGCTCCTGGAAGTTCGCCCGCGTAACTCTTGCTGTCCCTGCAGCTTTGTCCCGCTCATTCGAGGGTCCCGAGGCGTCGTTAAGATGAAGCGCGCGATTGCAGTCAGCCTAATCGTTATTAGGCTGATTGCGATCGCGTCTTCCATCTTCATTCATTCGACGAACATTCGACCCCTCTGTGACCTCTGTTGAACTATAACTTCCAATGCATCACGTGCACCTACCTGTACTGGCTCGGGGGTCGGTATCTCCAACTTGCTCTCGTCCTCTGGGACTTCCTCTGGGACGTTTTGCGGGGCGTCCTGTGGTGCGTCCTGTAGCTTAGCGGACTCCCCCTTGGTGGGAACCCTCTTGATCACCGACACCCTCCTGAGCGGCTCGGCCTGCGGGATTTTCGGCGGTGTCTGCGGCCTCGGCAGGATCACCTTGTCGGGCTGCGACAGGAACCGCGGCGGATCGCTCGTGGTCGCAGGCGCGATCGGCGGGCTGCTGTACTCCTTGCGCTCCGCTCGTGTCAGCACGTGACCCCGACTGCCGTAAGGCACGTCGCCGCCGAGGATGCTGGAGATGAATCTCCTGGGTCGAGTCGCGCTGCCACTCGATGGACTCGCCGCCGGTTGCGACGATTGCGGCGTCGACGGCGGCGACGACAACGTCGGACTGGTGCTCCGCAAAAATTCCGGAGTCGCCGTGCGGTCATAGTCGGTCTTGTCACGATCCGCTGTCGAACAAAACATGGCAAGTTTTTTTATCAGTACTTTCCTATCATATATGAATGTGTATATATCAATCAGTGCGACGTAAATATTGTATTGAGAAAGACATACTTGTTTACAGAAATTATCTGTATTTCGCAAAAATAAACTTTACTTCGCAGAAATCAACTTAATATTCCATGCGAATACATTTTTTCTTTAGCGTGCGAGTACGAATCGCTCGCTTCCGAGACGTCGCCGAGGTCGCGATGAGTCAAGGACCTTAAAGAACGGCGATCTATTTCACCGGCTCGTGCGTGCCTGTGTCGGTTGAATCGCACATCGGTGCGTTTCCAGTCGATATGAATGAATTATTCATCATTATCGAGCTCTGCGAATATTTATGCAAATATATATCTTCCATAGGTGGGAAATTGACAAAAAATGGGACTTCCAGATCGTGTTTCGACGTGTTTCGACAACGTTATTGCCGAGGCATCGGCAGTTTATGTATACAGAAATAAATTGTGCTGTCGCGGTAGTTTTTGTTTCGTACAATACATACTAGCTTTTATTTTATTTCACCGGACGTGCTTGGAGAGGCGTTCGATATTTCCAAACACTCAGAAAAATTTCGCACTTAATCCTGGATATTTTTATGGTTTTGGTCTTTAAATATTTAATGGTATATAAATATTTAAACTTTTGAAACGTGGAACACACAAATATATTCAATGTATGAACACATTTTATGCTGAAAGTTTAAATATTCGTACTTAAAAACGAAATAATGAAAATGTATAGGATTAGGTACGTGTCCGGATATTGATATTTTCAACTTACTCTCTAAATTTTTTGGGATAAAATTTTATTCGAAAAGTAGAGTGACCACTGAGTCACTTGAATTCTAGCGATTGTTCACCGATTCAGCGGTTCCGAATATTTTCACTCGAAATTGCAGAGTGAGTCTGATGTGTTTCACAGGAACATATTCCTTTGCTTTGACTGACTGAAGCATTCACTCATATGGTGTCGGAATCCACTTTAAGTTAGAGTGAAACATGCGCTCTCGCAATTTCGAGTGACAGCATCTTCACTATCGTTTCAAGCGAAAATACCGCCACTCTTCACACGTTTTAAGATTCGCATAAAGAAATTTAGAAAGTGGAAGAACGTCTTACAGTAACAAGAAAATCCTTAGAAAATGTCACCAGCCGTTGGCAGACAGTTTAAAACCTAATAGAGTCTTTTGTCTTAGCTGTTAAGTATCAAGTCAGAGAGAACGCGGTTAAATCTATTATGACTATTAAAGACTGTAAAATTGGGAGCCAAAGTAGACCAGGGCTCTCTTTCTTCTGTTCGTCTGCCCCATCTGCAGAAACATATACTCTGACTATACTAGATAAAAAAACCAATTAAGAATCAAGAGAAATTAACATCATTATGCTACATGCAAAAGCACTCCGGGAAAAACGCGAATCCGCCGAGTAACGATTCCCACATTCCGCTATGTGTGATAGCGCATAATAAATCAGGAGTGTCGTGCGTGCGTGCGTGTGTGTTGTGTGTGCGACACGAAGCCGACGACTGTGAGTTATCGATCAATACGGAGCGCGTTACGTACGCGCAAGCGGCACAAGATTCGCGTAGGACTCAAGCTTACCGTTCTCAAGGCTCGCGCGATTTCGCGGATCGTGAATTTGCATTCGCGAACGGCGGCTTAAAGATGACGACAATCGAATTCTCAATGCTGAGAGAATCGACGGGGGTACATTGGCGCATACGTAATGCACGGAACGGCGCACACAGTCATAACCGTGGCGGCGGAGGTGGCGGTGGCGGCGGCAGTTGGCCCGCTCCCGGTGTCTGAATTTACGAGCAACCTTGAGGATTCGCAGGTACCGTATACCGACTGCGGCGGGCTCTCTTTCGCACCGTACGTCTGCGCGTCCTTCGCGCGTACGTGATCTACCCGTCACTCTTCTCCTCTTCTCCGCGATTTTTAGCGCCCGCGTGTCCAAGTACGCACAGAGAAATACACACCGCATTTAAGTAAATGTTACTTGTTTCGGATATTTCGTAATTTTATACATCCGCAAATTTATTATGAGTTTTCATAAGCATTTTTCCAATTTATCCAAAATATATCCTGGAGCTTAGTAAGTTTCAATCGAGCATATTAAATTAAGAGAAAAATTCAGCCTGTACATTGCATAAAGAGAGTTGGACCAATTTTTTTCTTCAATAAAGTACTACAATATTCTTGTGAAGAAAATAAATTTTACTTTCGAATATATGATAATGAACATTTTTTCAAAATTTTTCATCAGTACAGTTGAAGACTAATATCAAGAAAATCAATTTTCGTATAGATAATTCGAAGATAACATCACTCAAAGAAAGAAATGCAAATTGAATAATCGCTTTTCTTAGCAGTGAAACGATATTTTTTGCGTGCGATGCCTCCGAATTGCTCGCGTTACTTGCACTCACGAGAGATTTCCATTGAAACTAAACTTCCAAATTTTAATTAAAATAAAATGAAAAATCGCGGCACGCAGTTTTGAGCAAAGAGTATCATTGTTATTTGGATTAAGATTGGATATAAACAATGTTGCTTCTTATATGATATTTTTCATATCTCGCAATATATCGGTGACACGTAGCTCTTTTTATCGCGATTCTACCAGAGGTCCGTCATTAAGCACGTGGTGTGTGCGCCGCACTCTCTTGACTTTGACATCGAGCACTTTTCGCCGATGGAGCACGAGGACATCGCGTGTATGTGTGTGTCGCGCAATCATGTCGTTGGAGCGACAACCAGGAAACTAACCAGCGAGGACGCGGAGTTTTACTGAGGTCATGTCCATTATGCGGAATACAATGGTGCCGTTGGAAGAAAAGATCGTGTGCTCTCCACGATATCAACCGGTATCATATTGATCCGTAAGATTATGTGAATTCTTGTCTAACTGACAACTGTTGAGAGGTATTAGCAGGATAGTCCCGTACATTTGGCCATCTATATATATGCTTTGATAGCTGACACTTCAGAGCACATTTTGTGTAAGTGACAGTGTTCAAAGAAGTACAGTTGTCTCCGTTGCGGCTTGAAAATAGAGGACAGTAATAAGTTTTTCCGGTGCATTATTCTCTTAAAATGAATCAGTGAATATTCACTGATATCAGTTATAAGTATAGCACTGAGCAGTTTCAGCGAGCACAATTCAGTGTACTTAAATGTAGGATAAATAAGTATCGCTAACGTGGATATTGGTGAGAATATTTCAGTTATAAGTATTATTGCTATGCATTATTTTTTAATATAATAATTATTGAATCAACCTTCCATATCAAATCGACCCTGAATTCCAATTATTAATATTAATATCGAACAATTTTTCACTCTCCTCTCTACTTCCCATTCTAATCTTGCATTATAATTTTTTAATTCACTCTTAATGTTACAGAAAAATACTGTCTCTAACATCCTGATTAATAATAAAAAAAACCTTTTATTAATGCAAATCAATTAGGATGAAGTGATAATTGGAGTACAGGGTCAGTTGGACATGCAAGGTAGATTCATCACGTACATTATAAATGTAAATAATACGCATGTCTGGAAAAATATTCTGCTCTTACGCGTCAACACTGTCAAACATAATTATTCTTCTATAATTTAAATATTCGCATCCAACATTCACGTTTAACTTCTACTTGCCTCATTTCTTCTTACTAACGCCTAAAGTTAAATAAATTTTAATTTGAGCTTTGATTTTAAATTTCTCGAAGTGAGATCTCAAAACAAGTGAAAATGCATTCGAAACGATAGTGAAAATATTGCCACACAGAATCGTTAGAATAAGTGGTCTCTCTAAAGCTTAGAGCGAATTCTAACTCTATATTTCAGTCGATTAGATTTTATTTGTTCCTGTGGACTGTGAAATACATCAGATTCGACCTTCGATTTTGAGTGGAAATATTCGCTCGACGATTTAGAGTCCAGAATTCATCTTATACGACTGAAAAATTATTCAAATTCGCATTGCTTCACACTGTCAATCTTTGCTTCTTGAGTAAAATTTCACTTTAAGATGTTTAAAAAATACATCAGATGTTAAGTCCTTTACTATCCCTTCATTATCAACAACATAATACTAACTGATGGTGATGATATCACACTGACAGAAAAAGATGATTGATCTAACTAAAATTACAGTCATTTCCGGTCCCAGCCACATTTTTTGTTTGTTTTAACACAAAAAGGATAGCAGCAACATAAAAAATTATTATCATTAACATTATAGTAGAACTTGGTACAAAATTATTTTCCTGACCATAATTTATAGTGATTATTTCTCTATGTGACTACAATTACAAATACCCAACATTATTTTTTTCAGTGCGCAGTTAGAACTTTTTTGACATATGTATAAATCGAAATACTCGCTTATGAATTCTTGGAAATCTCCGTAATGCTTATCAGTGATGACGTCATAAATTTCTCGACGAATCACAATTTATAGCACGGCAGCGGTATTAAGACTCGCGTGGAAAGGAGTTAATTACCAAACTGACTGATAAAGCAACCGTGGGGCACCGAGAACGGTCCCGTTGAACGCGAAACACCGAGAGTTCGAGAGGAGAACGTCTCCTCTTCGACGTCTTCACGACTAGGGGTTTTTATCTCGTCCCTGAGAAAGCTCGAATAATGCCAGCGGGGCCTCGAGAGGTGACGAGTTAGACGAGGATGTCGTCTAACGACATTTTGACGCAATCGCTTGCGTCACAGCCCGAGGACCCTGGAGGTAACAGCCGGGCGAAGAAGTCGAGGCACCAAAATGGCGGTTCCGTTGGTTGGGCAACCTTCGATATCGCGGCGAGAAAACCGCCGTGGCGTGCGTGAGTTCCTCTAACCAAATCCCCCTAACAGGTTCGGCCGCGCTATAAATACCTGCGCGAACGCCGTGACCGGGGTACCGATGTACGCCTTTGCCTATCTTCGGCTCTCCCTCTCTCTCTC